TTTCTTTCCATAGGCCTTGTAGTTTTGCTAAGCTCGGAATTCGAGATAAACTGTGTTTACCCTTAGAAACTCACACCCCCCCCTCACTTCCTGAACTCAGATCGCCTGTAATTTATTTTTCCTTTCATTTTTATCATATTCCCCTCCTTGTCCAATGAGTTTCATCCTACTGTAATTTTTTTCACTTTTTACCATTTTTAAAGGCCTGGTTTATTATAAACATAAAGCTTTTTTACTCCATGATCTCAGTCGCAGCTTGAGTGACTAATAATAAAAAAATATACGTCCATGTGATGCCTCATCTCATTGGCATTCTGTTTATTTTGCAAACGCGAAAATCAAAGTTCCGGTATTTCCGCAAACAATTCGCGTGTATTCGTAAACAGCGGAAACTGTCCGAGCTTGCGAACTGAGCGTCCAATATAGCGAAGGACTCACCGAGTGGACAAATATGTATATTCACAGATAGAGTGAGCGAAGTTTGTTGTCGCGATTGAATAAGAACGGGGGTTTGTGCTTTTGAGATAGAAATGAAGCAAATGACCGAACAAAAAACCGACCAAGTGCGAGTCGGGCTCGCGCTCGAAGGGTTTCGCACAATTATCCATAAAAACGGCAAAACTGCCCCTATTTATTCTGTTTTTTTTTATTTGTTGTTACAGCGGTAACAGAAAATATCATCTGTGAAAATTTCAACTGTCTGTCACGGTTCATGACATACATAAAGCCTGGTGACAGACGGGCAGACGGGTAAACGGACAGACGGACAGATAGGCAGCGGAGTTTTAGTAATAGGGTACGGAACCCAAAAAAAACTTAAGTAGTTAGTGCATGACAGCAGGCCCCCCGTTTTGAAATCAAACGAATGGACCAAACTATTAAAATAAATCGAGATAAAGGTATTGAATATATATTTTATCGTGCGTATTTTAAGTAGGACATAATAAAACAGAAAAGATATGCGTTATGTAGATTTTGAAAAGGAAACGTGGTTGTATGCCAGCCATTTTGTTTATATTAAAATATATTAAAGGGATTTAAAAATTACTTTTTGACCTGGTTGTTATTAACTGTGTTCTAAGGGAGGGGAACTAAGGTCATAATAATGTGTTTGAGTTTTGTTCGTCCTCCCTTTATATACTTTTTCAAATATTGCCCTTACATCGTGTGCTGTAAGAACGTTTTACAAACATAAATTTCACGTGGGCAAACACCACCATCCGAAACAATTATCTGTGGGTCACACAAATATTTGTCCCGTGTGGGAATCGAACTCACGACCACCGGTTGTGAAGCCGACGCTTTGGCGACTGCGCCACGGAGTCATCATCCATATATAGTCATATATAAATAATATCCATGTGTGACTATTACTACTTTCACTCTGTATGGACTATAATATACATAGTTTCATTTATATCAGTAAATCCCTGGGTTGTGGTTCTTTTTTGTTTATGAGAAAATCTGTAAATCAGTAAATGTTAAAAGGAACCACATGCACATTTTCTTAATTATTTAGAATATTTCAGGCTGTGCAGAGCAAATTTATATAAACTTACTTAAATACATAATTCATCAATAAATTAAAATAAAATAAATAGTAATTTTGTTTCATCTAACAGAGCTGCGCATATTTTTATCTATATAATATCTCAGAAGTGCGTTTTTGCTGGGTTGTTCCTTTTTGCATGAATACGGACATATATGACATGGATCATAATTATATAGTCCATACAGACATGTGATTTAGTAGTGTATAGTGACGCCCGGTTTCTGAAACACTGATCATCGTAGAAGTTAACTAATTAAATGTCATTTGAGTTTCCAAAAGGATGGTTAAACTCTTTGAATTGATCATTCCGATCATTAAGAAGATTATTCTGATGAATTCAAAGAGTTTAACCATGCTTTTGACAAACACAATTTTCAAAAGATTGTCAACACATCTGGAATCCTAGGGAGTAACAGATGTCCACGGGCGGCGATATTCACTTAACATCAGGTGAACCGTGTGCTTGTTTGGCAACTTCTCACATAAAAAAACTCAAATGATATTTGAAAAGCCATTTGACAGCTGTTTAGTTAACTTCTACGATGATCGTTTCAGAAACCGGACGCGAGTCTACAAATTTTTTTTTTTAAATAATAATCATTGCCCCTACTTTAGGATAACATTATTCTGTGTTGTAAGGACGGTTTACGAACTTAAAATTGATTTACAAACACGCGGACAAACACCCAGATGCGAAACAACTATCTGTGGGTCACACAAATAGTTGTCCCGTGTGGGAATCGAACCCATGGCCTCCGACGAAGCCAATACCTTGGCCACTGCGCCACGGAGTCACTAATTTACGGCGTTGTTTTTCTTGCGATGATTCCCCGTACCTCATTAAAAACTCATCCCGGTTCCATAGCACACTAAAACGCGAAATAAACGTACAGCGAGTTAATTAGTCTTTGACTAGGTTGTTTATTCATTGACCTGAACAAATAACTGGCGGGTAAGTCAACCCTTTTGATTCATTGCATCGCACTTGGCACGCGCTGTTTGCGTTTCATTACCTTACTCTGACTTTGCGGCGTCGTATTTACTTTGGGATGTCGGAATGTTTTAATTTCGACGTTACTTTTTGATAGCATCGTCTGACCAGCGCGGATCAGTTTTACGTATGGGAACTTCTCGAAGTCTCAAACTCTTTGTAATTTGGTCACTAATTTCACGCCTGAAATGTATCAGTAATTGAAATTTCTCGATCTTAATCGCAAATTTGTGCTCACTAAAAAAGGTATTTTTTTAAGAATACATTCTTCAGATCTGACTTGCTTTTGGTTCGAACGTTCAGTCTCTATTTTCACATAAATGACAACCGTGTACTGGTCGAAAAGACTGTGACATTTTGATTAATTTCAGCTTCACGGATTATGAGTGTGTATGAATAAAAATTTGTAGTACGTGCCCAAAATCACAATTGATATATTAAAGTAATTGAAAACAAAGAATTCATTAATTATAACATCATTCACGGTGGTATGGCCACGCAGCAGCCTCGGCTGTTGCACGAATGGGCAGGCTCGTCCGGGTAAGTACCACGGCCTCACAGAGGACCGGACTAAAGAGGAAGTATAATACTTTCGCGTTTCGTATGGTGAGTGAGGTGGCCGGAGCCCAATTTTCAAAAGGTTGTCAACGCATCTGGAACCCTCGGGTGTAGCAGATGTCCATGGGCGGCGGTATTCACTTAACATCAGGTGAAACGTCTGCTCGCTTGGCAACTTTTCACATAAAAAAAATTGTAGGACAACAGTTTTCTCGATTATCGTAAAAATCAATTAAACAATTATATTACATCCATTCCACCTGTTTTACACCTGTTTCATTTATTGATTACCATTATAGAGGCTTTAGAGATAGAAAAATTTGAAATATTAATTATATATTTATATATAAATTAAAAATGAAGTGATTCACTAATATTCAGCCTGATAGTAGTCTTAAATGTGAATTTTTCTTAAATAAATTATCGAAATATGTTCGTAGCCAACTGAGCTAAGCGCCCGATATAAAAATCATATTCAAAAAGGGCGCTGGATATTAGACTATTCAATTAGCTTCATTATATCGATTGATTTAGATTATTAACAGAAACAAACGTAAGACTCGACGTATTTGTACTTTCTTATAAGAAGTAAACAGAAACTTAATTGAGGTTATCTTATACATGTTATTGAGTTCAATAATTCATTCATGGAGAGAGTTTATTTCCGTACGTTTCAGTAACCTACTTGTCATAACCATAAATAGCACTTTTGAATCAAATCGATTTACTGTTATCACCTTCACATTTTGTCTTTTATCTGCCTTCTTACTTTGAATTTGTTCTTTCATATCATAAGATTTAGTAAGTGCGTGCGGTGTGAGCCAAACACTTTCTATGGCTTTATGGATTAATTCAGGACTGACAGAGTCGCCACAACTTGCGATGGAACAGATATTATACTCTTTTCTCTCTTTTTCGGGAGCTTGACGAACCAAGCCCTGACGTGGAGTTTTATTAATTCTTCAAGGCAATTCTGCCATTGGATCCCATGCTGTGCGTGCCTGTCCCAACTGCAGAGCGATAATTATAGTAGTTGATGTTCAATGAGGTCAAGTTACGCTTGGCGCAGAGATTATGAAATAAATCACTGATAATGACTGTCATGTATACATCGTTTGATTGTCTTTGGAATTAATTAGAAATAAATATAGAAAGGAATTCTCTACTTATATAGTATATAGTACTATACTTCTCTTCTATACTAATAAAATATAACTATCTATACTAATAAAATATACCTTTACTAAACATTGCAGATTTTGCTCAACGAGTCTTCTCTTGAGCTTGCTGCGAATATTAATTGTCAGGAGTTATAGAATATTGATTTAAACTACCAAAGTATTTGTAACACATTTTATTTTTTTTATCCACATAGTTAACAATAACATCCAAATATATTGCTTTCCCGGCGCCTTTCATAACTTACTTATAAAGGACTAGAAACTATCACCATTATTAAACTCTACCTTACACCTATGATCTGAATTCATTTTTGGTTTTAAACATTTGTCCAACCGTTTAATACATATAACTATGCACGTATTTTCTAACAAAATGCAGGTGAATCAGTTGTAAAGTTAGTTGCTAACAGAGATTATTCCACGAACGAGACTAATTTTTATTTGCTCCGTGACGGTCAAGCTAAATACACCTTAACAGCCCGAACAATATTTCTTAATTTTCTACACACGTAATTATGTTCGCAATTTAAATATATATTCTAATTGACACAGTTTTATCTTTAATAGATCAACATACTACATCGATATTTTTGAATACGTTATTTAAAATAAACCGGTTTGCGAAACTTTAATTATTGAATTTCCGTGTCGTCTTCGCTTTGCTCTTAATATATCAAAGTGGCCTTTCCTCACATTACGAGTTGTCTCGACCAATCTACCTGTAGCTGACGCTTCCATCGCTGTGCACCAAGCCGTAGTGGCCGAAGGATTTCCTCCTGTACTTGCTGTAAGTGTCGTTCCAGAGCCGCACCGCCTCCTCGTTCCACATAGGCGCGGTGCTGACGGAGGCGTCGATGATGAGGGCAGTGGGGTTCCATTCCCGGCTCGGCCGCCACCGCACGGGTAGCGGGTTCGAAGTCTTCGGCGTTGGATCACTAGAGAATTAAGTTATTGAAGTCTTACTTCTTTTGGCGTATTTGGAAATCATTAGGGGAGTGAAATTTTCACGGACAGTCAAAAGCGACTTGATGATGCTGATTGCAAAGCGACCTTCTTTATCACATTGCAATACATTAAATATTTTCTTTGGCAGTGATGCTTCCTCTGACCAGCGATTGAATCGTGCTATAGAAGAAACATCCATTTAGCCATTTAAATTATTCATGGTACTAATGTCAGCAATAATAACAAAAAAAATATATTTCGAAAATATTTGAAGCCAATCCGCAGTGGGGCCGCGTGTTGGACTATGCCCTGATACCCTCTGTAAAGAGGAGGCCTTTGCCCAGCAGTGGGACATGTATAGGCTGTTATTACTTTACTTTTACTTTTACTAATCTCTGCACTTAAGATTAAACATGAAAATATGTAGAAAAAGTACGAAAATATTGTCGCCGCTGTGGGTATCGAACCTACGTCTTCGGTATTCGCGGCCTGACGCTTTAGCCACTGAGCTAAACGGCTGATTGCCACACCGACGAAAATCTTAACGTCTTTTATCTACATTGTTTTTTAGCATTCGAAGCAATGCTTGGCGCATCTATTGTTATATCTTTTAAAAACAATGTAGATAAAAGAAGACGACAATCTTTTCGTACATTTTCTACATATTTTCATGCATTTATGCCTCCTCTGGACAGACGGTATCCGTTCATAGTCCACCAAGGGCATAGTCCACTGTGGATTGAGGGACTTCATATATGTTTGAAATATGTTTTATTTATTTTTTATTTTGATGGTATTTACATATACAGCGTGTCGTTACCATCGCGACAATAAATGACACACGTCTAACACTACTTGCCAATAATCATAAAAAATATTAACGTTAAACAAAATCCATAATTTAAAAAAAATATTTTTCAAACAAACTAATTAAGTAAAAAAGAAACAAAATTTGTAACATCCTATACAACTCGCGCCACAGCGTCGCATTACAAGCCTCTCCTTCTAACAGTATGTTTTGTCTCTTTTAAATTCATTCAACCCATTCATATGCTTTGTGACCTTTACAAATGAACTTTACATAACAGTTTTATACGTAAGGGTGTTCTAAAATTGTTTGTTTTGGAAAATTTAGTAATTCTGTAAATATTGATGTTTGAAGAATGTAAATGTTTAATACAATTTTAAAAATTTACCCTCTATTTGTGTGTTCATTTATTGTCGCGTTGGTAACTACACGCTGTATAGTTATGTAGTCGTCAGCCATTTTCTTCCTTCCTCTTTTGCTAATTTATCACGTGCTCAGCGGTTAAGAAAAAAAAATACATACATAAACGTGAAACCCCATATTTTAGAAATAATACGAAAATAACCCACGTAGAATGGATCCGCTTAGTGTGGGTATGAGAAAGAAATTAAACTATTTAAGAAGAATTCTTCACAATAAAGTTATTAGATATCATTATTAACTAAACATTTCGAAGGTATGTGAAGTCCGGCAATCCTTTGTGAGGTATATGGTGGACTGTGCTCTAACAGCCTCTGTACATAGGAATCCTATGCCCAGCAGTGGGAAATATAAAAAATATGTTGTTAATTTACTGTACTTATTTTCTACCGGTAGTTGCGTGGTTGGAAGGTGAATAAAAAGAGGCAGTAAGAAATATGATTACCGTATAATAATCATTCTAAGTTAATTAAACAATTATAAACAGCGGTTGTCTTTTATATAATGACCATTTTTAATCACAGATCAGCTTTTTATAGGTTTTTGCAAAGCAACATCCAACCTAGAACACGCCAATTAGTAATCACAAACGCTAGGCAATGCGGAAAGCATTGGAAGCCATAAATTATATGACGAAATGCATGTCTCTATTGCATGCGCGTATTCCGTCATGTCCAATCCATAACGTTTGACATTAATAGGCGGGCTTCAGGCGTTTCTCCCTGATCATGCATCTAGATTCTGTATATACGGAACGTTTAGTTTAGTGATAATCGATTATTAAGTCTCATAACTTACACAAGAGCAAATGTATGTAATGAAATTGTTGTTATATATTAAATTAGACTATTCGAAATCAAGTAAAATTAATGAATTAAATTGAACACTAGAAATATGGACAAACTTACTACAAGATTGTTTCGTCTACAAAAAGTAAATAGGTCGTTCATGGGGCAAAGTGTGCGCATGAATAATTAAAATCCCACAGTCGATATTACCAGTAAGTCTGTCGCTTGATCAATTTAAACGCAAAATTTAATTATGGTTAAAGCATATTATAACATTGAGGAATATCTCGACGACACCAATGTGTGAAGTACTGTTGATACTCAAGGAGCCTAAAATAATACTATTATACGAGTACCTCTACCGTTTTATATTGTAAACTGATATTTAAAAAAAAGATTAACTGTTCTCCTATCATCATAACCTGCTTTCCGAACATCTGGTAACTGACTTACGAACTTATGCATTATTTTTTTTTGTAAAATTCGACGTTTCATAAGAACGCGCAAGCGTCAATTTCAATAAAGATATTTTGAACTTAAAACGCGATCTTCTTAAAGAACAAAACGAAATCCCTGCCCTCATTCCACCAATATAGGTTCGGCACAGCATGTGAACGATGTTGTATGTGGTTTTGGCAATGTCTTTACGACCTGACTGACGCGAACCCTCCTTGTAAAACAAAATCCCAGTTCCGGACCGATTATTTATCTGTGGGTCGCACAAATACTTGTCCCGTGTGGCAATCGAACCCAAAACGCCCAACGCCGAAGCCAATAGCTTAGCAAAGGCGCCAGCGAGTCCACCTTGTGAATGAGTTACAAAAATTAATTCCAAATTTATAGACAACTAGTTTTTCGCCCGCGGCTTCGCTCGCGTTGAAGCCCTTAAATAAATATCTTTCTTTAACCATTTGCAACACTTTCCAATTAAAAATAGCCTATGTCCTTTCTCAGGCCCTAGACTATCTGTGTACCAAATTTCATTTAAATCGGTCCAGTAATTTTGACGTGAAAGCGAGACAGACAGAGTTACTTTCGCATTTATAATATTAGTATGCATTCGTAGTTCAATATTAACAAATGAATTTCTGTTTTGAACGTTTCCCCAGATCACTTAAAATTAATATAAAACAGTGCCAACTTAATTTGCGCACAGTAAACAAGTCGTTATATCAAATCGGCCTTATCTCGTTTTATTTGGATTCGCCCTATTTTCGAATGTCATCTATCATTTAAATTGTTTTATCTATTAGTTCACAGTCCAGTAGGCGCGGGGGTCGTGAGCGGCAGCGAGAGAAATATACTATTTGTTTGCCGGGATGACGGAACCAATTGAGTTTACGTTTTCATTTAGATGATTGTCATCATCATAGGCTTAGGTTTGACTAAGTCAATTATGTGATAGCGGGTTTTACGATCATCCGTCTTCGCGTTTATTAAATATTATAGACTAGCGATCCGCCCCGCTTCACACGGGTGTAATGTATTATACATACAAACCTTCCTCGTGAATCATTCTATATATTAAAAAAAGCCGCATCAAGATACGTTGCGTAGTTTTAAAGATCTAAGCATACATAGGGACAGACGACTGGGACAACTTTGTTTTGTACTGTGTAGTGATAAGTAAATTTATAACAAATCGATAAAGTAAATAAGTTTACAACCATTTTACGCATTATTTTAAATGTTCAGCATTATGATTCGTAAGAAATAATGTGCTAATATAATTGAATACGTTAATGATTTATGACCAAAACAAGGATGGCATGAATTTTGGGACATTGCCACTTAACGTGAACGTTAACTATTAATAAAGTGCTGGCGGCCACATGCTTAGATTCGGCTGTGGTAGGATTCAAAATATGGTATTAAGTATTTCATGTAAATATAGGCTGTTGCAGGAGAAATTTTCGCTTTTATAATGCAGGTAACCTCTCACGCTGGCCAACTGCACGGCATTCTATCAAAATAATAGTAACCGCCGTACGTGAGGCGAATACTAAACAGACGGGCGGCCTGTTTTTGCAGTTTTTGTGTATCTGTTGGAGTCGGCTCATTAATATTTAACATGCGGGTCGTGGGTCGCGCTCGAGTCAAAGACTCTATAGACTCGACTGTGATAAATAACTAGTTAAAGACCAATTTCGTGATATGAAGTATTCTTTGAAAGTATTTTCAGAATATAGCTTTAGTAAAGCACAATGATGATATGGCGGCCCTGTTGCAAAATTGGAGATCTTCCTTTAACAAACTTCTATTTTTTTATTACTTATTCATTCCTAGATGAAAACGTCCCACGGTGTTTTGTTATTGATATTACTTTAAGTGCTTGAAGTTAAACCCGTATCCATCATGAATGTTGTGCCAAGTTAACAATATGTTAGCAGAAGTTTTGAAGCATTTGCTTCTATGCTCGGTATATATACGATAAACAACTTCTAGGTATTTCAGATTCAGGCCGAACTGGTGTGCTCTGGGTATGAATTTTTGATTTGATTTCCTTTGTATGAATTAACATGTGCAACATCCGTAGGGTTGCAGATGCGTTGCCACCCATTAATAAAATGGCCCCGGCTACCTCACTCACAAGACCAAATTAATAAGTATAACAATTACACCACACGCTGGTCTTCTTTGAGGTCGTGGTACTTACCTGGTCGGACCTGCCCATTCGTGCAACAGCGAAGATTGTTGCGTGGACCTACCACAGGTTTTTTGAATCCAAGGGAATGACGAATACCACTCACCCATACTTGGCGAAATTCGTCCACAGCGTCACCATCCGCTTGATCATCGTGGTCTCTAGATACCTTTGCGGTAAAGGTATTGAAGACGGCTTGAACATGTAGAACAATTCGTCCGCGTGTGACGCGCCTTTCTTCCCTCCGAACAGCGACACCATCTTCGGCATATTTATGTATCCGCTGTACTTGAACAGATAGAAATAGATCGGCTGGTAGGACGTTCGCAAGTACAACTCGGACTCTATGACGGAGGGAAACTTAAAGTGCAGATCTGAGTACAAATCCACCACATCCATAATCACGTCGTCCTTCTTCGTGGAGAAATAATAGTTGTTCAGCCTCGCCACGGTCGAGTTTCGGTTCTCGTCGCCGGGGAACTCCAAATCCGGCGAGAGGAGTTCGTAAGGGTCCACTTCTTTCAGTCTGTTGCCATAGTCCTTCGCAACAAAGTATATGCCTTCGTTGTCGTTAAAGCCAATGATCATCGGCACCTTGGTATAGTTGCCTGAAGCTATTAAGTCCACTGGATGCTCGGTGATTATCGGTTCGACTCCCGGAATGGGTTTCTCGATGCAGGGAGAGAATAGAGTCTCGGCTGTGATATAATTTTTATGCTGCGGATTCCTGATAGCCAGTATCAGCTCTTCGGGAGATCTCTTTGATAGTATATAGTACAGTTCGTGAGGATCGACGGTTGAGTGGCCGAATTCTTTGGCTAGATTGCTGGCCGTCTTCACGGGGTCCTGTTGCATTCCCCACGGAGCTAGCGAGGAACCGCTCTGCAGTATCACCTTGTGGAAGAGCCCCCTAGCGGCTGGCGAAGAAATTAAATAGGAACTTGAGACTGCGCCGGCGCTTTCACCGAACACCGTTACGTTATCCGGATCACCGCCGAACGCTCTAATGTTCTGTCTGATCCATCGCAGCGCTGCGACCTGGTCTTTAAGGCCGGCGTTACCAGGCGCTTCCTCGATACCGAGACAGAGAAAGCCTTCGACGTTCAGCCTGTAGTTTATACCGACGAACACGACATCGTTCTCCACAAAGTAATCACCGCCGTACAAGAAAGCGGTGCCGGTGCCCTCGAAGAAGCAGCCCCCGTGTATGTAAACCATGACGGGTAGCAGATCATTGGGCTGCCTGGCTATCGGCGTGTAAACGTTGAGCCTCAAGCAGTCCTCGTCACCGACGACAACGGAACCGACCATCTTCTGCGGGCAGCGGATGTTCTCGTCGATGGCTTCGAAGATGCCTTTCCATTTCAACGGCGGCAGCGGCGCCTGCGAAATATAAAAGTAGGAATACATTTTTGTTTTCATCAAGCTGACTGCCAAAGAAGATCTTTGCCTATCGCTAGTTTATATAATAGTAACAATAATACTTTATTGAAGTACAATAGTATTGAACGTGAGCATTAAAGAAACAGACACTAGAAAAACGCCTAAAAATTTTATTAGTCTTAGCTTTTTTCCTGTAATTAGAGCGCGGTGTAATTTAAAAAAAGACATGCATGGGCAAAGGCCTCCTCTATACAGAGGGTATCAAAGTGGCGGACTTCACATATCTTCGAAATATTTTTTGTTATTATTTCGAAAATTAGCATTGGTTATTGGTCTGTAATTAGAGCGCGGTAGAGGGTACACTTTTTTATTATTGAAAATACGTTGTCACCTTTAAAACAGTTGTGTGAATACTTATGTATATTCTTTTTTTCTACAAATTTTAATAGCATAGTACCATTATCTATAGAAACGGCAAAAAATCATGTCTTTTATATTGGAGCTCCACTTAAATATATTTTATTTAATATTACCAGGACGGACTGGTCCACCCGTGCAAAAGTGAACACCTATCACAGTTTATGGCAGCCCAATACATTTTGAATTCAATACCATATGAGACTAGAATTAAGTTAAAGGTTTACAGCCTGCAATATTATTACTCCTTACTTTGAACCTCCTCAGTTCTATGACATCATTAGAAATTACAACAGTTAAAATGTTATTTGTAGAAAAAGTACGAAAAGTTTTTTGCCGCTATATATTATACACTATGCAAAATATGTATGTAAAGTTTCTCGTATAAAAGGGTCGACACATTCTCTTTCTATTATTAATTACTATACAAGTACAACTTTTAACGTGAAATGAAGGTCGTTTTGTTCTTCCGCATGATAAAAATAGCATTAAATTTCGAATTTAAACGCAGACAATAAAAACGCTAATCGAAAATTCAATCAATGATAATAATTATAACGTTTTTAACGAACTCAGTGGTTTTGCAAAAATCATAAATAAAAGTAATATACTTCATCATCATCATCAACTGTAAGAAGTCCACCGTTGAACATAGACCTTAGAACGCCAAAACGAACGACACTCTGCCATGTGCATCCACCGGTTGCCCGCGACTCTTACGATGTCGTCGGTCCACCTAGAGGGAGGCCTTCCAACGCTACGTCGTCCGGTTCGCGGTCACTCGAGAACTTTTATATCCCATCGGTCATCAGTTCTTCGAGCGATGTGGCCTGCCATTGCCACTTCAGCTTGCAAATCCGGAGAGCTGTGAGGGCTCTGGTTCTTCGGCGAACTTCCTCGTTCTGGATTTTGTCGCAAATAAGTTTGTATAATTGCATCACAAAAAAGAACAAAAAGATTAAGACCGCAGAGTCTCTTGCCGGTTCTTCTTTGTTCGGGTCTAGTTCAGTGAACCGGTGTTAGATTTTTTGTTGACGTTTGACTTTGACTCCGAACACGTCCCAGTGCCTTACGTCATTTTAGAGTTGAACTGCTCAATATTCTTGAACAGTAGTTTTCGGCCTCCTAGCTATGTTACAACCTGTATTTAAGAGACACAGTCTACCAAGCAGTATACTAGTTTAAAGGGGGACCTCTAGTTTGGTATACTGAATTGTATTGTTGTTATAATATAACGAAATAGTTTACGTAAATGAAGAAACTAGAAGGGGACAAGGTATTTTTATCATATACACACATATAAATAAAATTGGATTGTCTGTTTGTAATATTAAAATAACCGCTTGCATTTAAATGCATATGCATGTATATACGGTACATAGTACCAAAATGTTTTATTTTACAATTTTTGTTTGTTCCGGCTAATCTCTGAAATGGCTGAACCGATTTCGACAGGACTTTTACTGGTAGATAGCCGATTTAATAAGGAGTAACTTAGGCTACTTTTGTTTTAAATTGCAACCGAACGAATACGCGGGCATAGCTAGTTGGGTTAAGAAAATGATTACGTCAATATTATCAAAATAAATACACTGCTCACAAACCTTGAATGTAGTTCAACCAGTTAGGTTAGTTTACCTACATTTTTTTTTTTAATTTTTATTAGTCATGCAGATTATTCTCATGATGTTAGTCCTTACATCATCTGTTGATTTAAAATGAGCGTTAAGTAATACGAATTTACAATAAATGAGGGCTCAACAACCGACTGCAAAAAGGGAGGAGGTTTTATAAAACTATGTCATTTATGAACAGATTCTAAGAATTATTTCTTCGGTTTAGCTTCCATGTGTTCATTCGTTGCTATTTAGTTCATTCGTTTTGGCCTTACCGAATAGAATTGACTTAAAAAGAATGGAAAATTTACAGTGGGTCATGTATTCGATTGAAGGCTGTTTGGCTTTAGTCGGTTTTTCTTTATGTGTATAAAATGATTTGCTTGTTTTCTTTTATACATTAGAGTTTTAATACGTAAGAAACGTTTCAAGAAAAAAGCAAATGTTGTCTTTTAACAATCGATTGACTCGAATGGAATAATAGGACGTTTGCCATTCTATAAGAGAATTGCGCAACTACAACGAAGAATATTCCGATTTTTTCGGAACTGCCTTAAAGTGTATTTAATTCGGGTACGGAACACGATGCTTAATGTATGTTTTTTTTTGTTTTAGAGATAAATGAAATTTTCCGCATTTTGGACCGTCGTATGACGTAAATCGAAACGTTTTATGAAAGACGAGACATTTTTTTTATACATGTAATACTTTGATGATTAAAAAGTGCAATTTCTTTCATGCTTTATCCTTTTATTTTTTTTATGTGAAAAGTTTCCAAACGAGCAGACGGTTCACCTGATGTTAAGTGAATACCGCCGCCGATGGACATCTGCTAACTACACCCGAGGGTTTGCAAATGCGTTGACTACCTTTTTGGAAGTTGGGCTCCGGCTGCCTCACTCACCAGACGAAACGCGAGAGTATTATACTTCCATTTTACGCCGGTCTTCTGTGAGGTCGTGGTACTGACCCGGACGAGCCTGCCCATTCGTGCAACAGCCGAGGCTGCTGCGTGGCTACCACCGTAAAACTCGTCTTAAAGCCTTGTTGTTCCAGAAGTTTCTCTGGTCAATAATAGAAGAAAAGACTACCTTAGTCTGTATTAGCCTCTTGTTTCATAACTCATACATATTAGTATGACCGACCTATGCATAAATAAGCTGCGTTCAAGGTGTGACGGATTATTAGCGATTCGAAGCTAAATTTCATTCAAAAATAAGATGGCGTTTGGACAGTAATTAGAATACTGTACATCGTTTATTAATAATAGTTGCAATTATAACTATTTTTTTTAAACTTTTGCTCGGGCATAGACTGACCTCAATGGCTGCACGAAGTCTGGCGAAAAGCAGAAGTATAATACTCGCTTCTCCACTGAGGATGTTATTAGATGTCAAAGTGCGGCGAATACGATTCGAACTTAGGATAGCTTAATTTTTAGTTGTTTACCATAACTTTGAAAATAAATTATTATCTATAGCTATACTAAATCATTAAAGAGCAATCTGTAACATCGGAGCCCGGAATACACTCAGAGATCTTTTTAATGACATTAATATACTCACTGTTCTGTCTCAATATATTTATTGTTATATTTTGTATGTCAGACAGAAATAATCTTAATTGTTACTTAAAAAATAGTGACAGACATAAATTAAATACTAGAAATCTGGACAAATTATCTACACTATTGTTTCGTCTACAAAAAGTAAATAGGTCGTTCATGGGGGGGCAATATCGACTGTGGGATTATACATAATCCCACAGTCGATATTAAGTCTGCCACTCAACTGAAACAAATCAATTTAAACGCAAAATTAAAAGTGAACTTATGGCTAAGGCATATAATTATATACATATGGCATTCCGGAATATCTCGACGCGCCCATGTTTGGATAACTCTACTATACTGTTGATAATCACGTATATTGATCTTTTTAAAAAAGACTCACTATTGAGTTTCTTGCCGGTTTCTTCTCAACAGAAGCTGCTTTCCGAACCGGTGGTAACTTACTTACGAACGAATTAATTTTTATGTGAAATTTCGACATTTCACAAGAACCCGCAAGCGTCTATGTGAATAAACATGTTTTGAATTTAAACAATTAAAGTTTAAGCAATTACTATATTTTATTAATTAAAGACTAAGTTACATACTTTGTATAGCATTTGACGATGAACATTTTTTTTCTACGGTCACTATTTTAAATCACTGCCTCTTGAGCTTATCCAATAGAAAAGGTGATGAGGTAATTATATTTTTGTTTGCTTCAACAATATCTATGCATATGTTTATTATTGTAATAAACATGACCTTGTATCACGTGATCTTCCAGTCCATCTTAGAACACGAATATACAATCATTCATTTCCTAATTACTTTTCCGTGTTTGAAAAAGCGATGCGCCGTGACTCAATTGATTTGTCTGCTATAATAGTGGTATTGCATATCTTCGGGATACAACAAGGAAGAAGAAATAACGCTTCTGAAGAGGTTATATATATATAATTTAAACTAAAAATTATTAGGTTTTTATTCGAATGCGTGCCCGCAACGGTTGGAAGACAGTGCGAATGTACAAATTTGAATTCAAGTCGTTAACCACTCAAGCACATATATTTAAAATCTTATGGTCGACTTTCAACGCGAGTGTTACAAGTATAATAACAGTCTGTGTTTTATACATTAACTTATACATATTAATAAATTTAAATATATTTATAATTCGAACTGTCTGTAACGCAGACAGATATCTTATACTTTTGTAACGCTGCAGTTGAGCAAAAGCAGTGTTGACAATGTTACTTCGACTCATTGTATTATTTTTCAAAACGTGCTATGAAAATATATTGTACCTTATGTACAGAATACACAAAGATTTTGTTAATTAAGAAATGTTAGGCTTCACTGATGTATTGATACATCCAACTGAAATATACTATTATCAAAATATATAATTTTTAAGAGTATGTAGTAACCAGAACTTGAATACATTACGATGCTATGGTAAAGTAGGGTAGGGAACTCTAGCCAGAACCCTCGCTAAGGCATACAATAATACGAATCCTTTGTCCGTCCTCATCTTCATTAAGCGTAAAGAAGAAACCAGAAATTACTTAAAGTTGTTCAATTAATGAATCGTCAAAATTTATCAAATTTTGATTAATAGAAAATAATTTATCGTGTGGAGACAATGAAGGCAACAATGCGTAATAAGGTCTTTGGGTTCACGACCTAATAGCGCGTCGTGTACTAATTAATAAAACCATTTAAAAATCAGTCGTATATTGGCTGTTAATTTATCAACAACTTCGTCACTAACCCTTGCAAAGTACCAAAATTTATTACCTTACTCAATTGGTTTGTTATATTATATAGCGTGTCGTTACCATCGCGACAATAAATGAACACACGTCTAACGCTACTTGCCAATAATCATAAAAAAATATTAACGTTAAACAAAATCCATAATTAAAAAAATATATTTTTCAAACAAACTAATTTAGTAAAAAAGAAACAAAATTTGCAACATCCTTTAAAACTCGCGTCACAGCGTCGTATTACAAGCCTCTCCTTCTAACAGTATGTTTTGTCTCTTTTAAATTCATTCAACCCATTCATATGCTTTGTGACCTTTACAAATGAACTTTACGTTACGCTTTTATAGATAAGGGTGTTCTAAAATTCTTTGTTTTGGAAAATTTAATAATCCTGTAAATATTAATGTGTAAAGAATTTAAATGTTTAATACAAATTTAAAAAGTTATCCCCTATATGCATGTTTATTTATTGTCGCGATGGTAACGACACGCTGTATACTAAGTTGCATGAATACGAGCCATTGCAGTTACAATCAAGGGTTAAGATGCGACAGTTTGAAGTCAAACATGCGATAGTCACTTATATCAACGCACTATTTAACATCATAACATCATAACTATCAAACATTTTGACTGGTCAAGCAACGAACCGGTAACAAAAGCTGCTGTTAGATATTCATTCAATTTACATTATTCTTAAAGATAAAATAGGATTCAAATAAATATCCTTGGTCTGTTGATTTTTGGCCCTGACATTTGTATGCTAGAATTCACATATTCGCAAATGCGTCATCTTTTACGTTGTACACACTTCGTTATATATGTGTTAATTATAGGTGCTAATTATTCCGTCAATTCATAGAATTTCTGTAATTTTATATTCGTAGCGTTTTCACGTTAGCATTTGTTACCTACTTTATTGGACACATCGATAAAAAGTCACCATTTATCGTAACTTCTCATTTTGAACAGCCCTGTCTGCCGCAGCCAGTACCGGAATACTTAAAAGTAAAGTAAAGTATCAGCCTATACATGTCCCACTGCTGAGCAAAGGCCTCCTCTGTACAGAGGGCATAGTCCACCACGCGGCCCCACTACGGATTGGCGGACTTCACATATCTTCGAAATATTTTTTTTTGTTATTATTTCGAAAATATGCAGGTTTCCTCACCATGTTTCCTTCACCGCTGAACACGTGATAATTCAGCACTTAAAATTGACAATTTCATTGGTTTTGGCACCGGGGATCGAACTCAGGTTGCTCGAGTATATTAAATTAGAGGCGAGCGCCCGGACACTGAGCTATCACGGTTCTCTCTCAGCGGAATACTTGGCGTAGACATTTAGATATATCATAAAACAAAACTGGCCTAAAAGAAGCTTGGCGTGCTCAGCCAGGTGAGACAGTACATCACGTCGGCTCAATGCCTAAACCTCTGTAGGACGCAAATTCGGTAGAGATATTAAAATGTACGAAAAGTTTTTCGCCGAAAACACGTCTTCGGGTTTCACGGGTCCAGACGCTTTAACCGCTAAGCTGAACGGCTGATTGTCGCACCGACGGAAACCTGATGCATTTGAAGCAATGCTTGGCAGCAAACAATTGATAATTCAAATTTCGAATATCGTTTTACAATGATAATTCGAACGAGAGATGTCGGCTTTCCTAATAGAAATTTACATTTTTTAGTGCACTTAAGATGAAACATTAAAATTTGCTTAAAATGCTTCCTATAATTAATTGATTTGTTGTGAACGAACAAATAAAAGAAAAACGCCGCATGTTAGAAGGCTGCGCAGACTGCCATTGGTATATTCGTTTAGTATGGAAGACGTATTATTGTAAAAACAAATGTATGCGCAATTACTTATATCTTTTTGCTCTATTGAGTTTGCATTACGGTCTTAAAGGAAGTACTTAACCGCTAAGTCGACAATGATATACGAAGAAAAGAATTATGGTAATAAATATATACGTGTTTATTTCTATTTTTATTTATTTATTTTATTGGTTTGTTCCGAATGGCGTAGTGGGTAGTGTGCCTGCCTCCTGCGCCAGAGGGTGTGGGTTCGATCCCCACTACTGGAAAAATATTGTGTGATGAACATTATGTTTTCCAGTGTCACACTACAAAAGAAAAGTATGTTTAAGTAAGTTTATCAGTTTTCTAGTACCCATAGTTGTACTATGGGTAAACTAAGCAAAGCTTGTAAGCTTTGTTTAGTTTGGGACTAGAGAATGTTGTGTAAAATGTGTCCTAAAATATTTATTTATTTATAACATACTTACATAAAATAAATTGTACAATTACACAAAGATATTTGGGCCAGTAAAAATTTCACTAATAGCTATATACTTTGCATCAGAAATATACAACTGTAATATTTCAACGTTATTTAGATTTATAAAAGTTAAATGTTAAAGTTAAGAAAAAAAAAAAGGAAATAAAAATCCAGTAACTACACGTCCTTTTTACATTATTGAACAGTGTTAGATAACATAACGTGATGCTGTAGAGGCGTTTAAAAACAGAAGAACACCCGGATATAGATAATTGTGTTTAGGTGTACGTAAAGACGTCATATATGTCTAAGAACAAGTCATTTTTTACTAACAAAAAACAAAACCGATTTCGAATATCTCGTATTCATTTTACAGTTGATTTTCAGGAGTTCCCTAACTATCTCCGGATCCCAAAATCCAATATCAATGAAATTAATATGGGACCACACGGGAAGCACCAGCTTTGCGATAAAAATAGAATCATCAAAATCGATTAACGCAGTCAAAAGTTCTGAGGTAAGAAACATAAGAAAAATACAGTTGAATTGAGAACCTCCTCATCTTCATCGTCATTTTCATTGATTAAATTTTTTTTTATTAAACATTATATTGTATATATCGTTTATAAACTTCAAAACCTCGGATGTGTGTGCGACAGCTGCGAAAGATTTCCTCTCTAGTTCTGTATAATCGCTCCCTATTTGGTTTGCGACCTTGTGACTATGAACATAAGCCTGTCTTTCGCGTGACTTTTCAAGGAACGCATGAACCTGACAGCATTCCGATCAATTTGCAATCCAACCATATACTGGACATTCGTCATGTGAGCCGGCGTGCTCGTAGCTATCATGGGTGAGTGCCGAGTTTAGCTTGGTTTAGTTTCATATTAACGTTAGTTGGACTTTATAATTATGTCTTGAGAATGTAAGGAGGCACCGTTGGGTATGGGCCTTAGTGTTAATCTAAAAATCGAGAAGACGACAATGATATACGAGTACAGTGCATATTTTAAAAATAATAGCAAAAAATATTTCGAAAATATGTGAAGTCAGCCAACCCGCAGAGTCCGTCGCCTTAATATCCTCTTTACAAAAGAGTCCTATTTATAGCAGCGGGATATTTATAGGCTGTTACTTTACTTTTACTTTAAAGTAAAAGTTAACAATATCATTAGTTACTTGATTTCTAATAGCAATATGTATAAAAACACAAGTTACGAACAATTTTTATGGGGTCAAAATCAAACTGTCAGATCCGACTGCCACATTGCCAAAAAGTAGGTATTTCTATTGCCAATTTATATTTTTTTATGTTGCTTTTTATATACGAGTAGTTGCTTTTTTTATTAGTCGTCAAGCGCGCAGCCGGTCGATTTTAAATCATGTTGGCCATGAACTTCACAACCCCATAAGGGTCGCAGAGGCGTTATCAACGTTTAGAAAACATATTTGAAAATAAAACATGTTTTCACATCACGCGGTCTTTTGCGAGATGGTGGTGCATCTCCGGTCTGCCCAAAAAAACGTTACGTTAAAAATTAATTAATATCATCATCATCATCATCATATCAGCCGTAGGACGTCCACTGCTGATCATAGGCCTCCCCCATTGACTTCCACTTCGACCGGTCGTTAGCGGCCTGCATCCAACGCTTCCCTGCGATCTTGGCTAGGTCGTCCGTCCACCTTGTGGGAGGCCTTCCTACGCTGCGCTTGCCGTCACGTGGTCTCCACTCGAGAACCTTTTTGCCCCAACGGCCATCGGTTCTTCGAGCTATGTGCCCTGCCCATTGCCACTTCAGCCTGCTGACTAAAACATTTTCAAGCTCCTAAATTTAAATAACTTCCGCAATACATTTTCCGATTTAGGAGAAATATGGAATTATCATATTATTACCTATACTCATATTTCTATTAACATGCCTAACTAAAATTGCGAGAGAAGATATCGGAACATATATTGAGATATGAATTTAACCAGAACCAGTGATCTGGTTATAGACTAAAAATTTTTATATATCCATGTGTATAAAACTTGTAGGAGGGTTTAAACAAAATACTAATTTATGTTCACCTCGGTAATTGTAAATGTTACAAGCTTAGTAAAGGACTGTGAGAAATAATCGATAGAATTACCTTAAATCTGTTTTCCTCTCCGACAAAGCCGTAAGGAATCCCAAAATACTGGTAGAACAGGCCATTGTCGCTCACTCGACCCCGCACCAAGCCGTCGCTGGTCTTCACCACGGGAGTTGGGATCTTCACCACATTCGCCACTATTAATGATAACAACGCCAACCACTTCATCTTCAATCATGTCAACACTGCAATTGAGTTATCTAGCAGCAACGATGTTGCTATTTTTTTTTCAACGGCTATGCTTGCGTGTTGTAATTAACATTCGGATTTTCAATTATTTTAATCTAATGAACATGATAGTAATACTGAACTGACGAAGATATTTGCTATTTATTTTTATACTAAATAAGTAGATACTAGTTTTAATTTATTTTTTAAGTATAAAACCGTTGAGAGATGTTTAAATTTTAAGATTAATGACAATACAGTTAAAGGGAACTGAAGTCCTTTTTCTAGTCTGTCAGATTTTGGCGCGAAATTTAACTTGTCACTTGTCGAACGTTCGAGCGCGTTGAGCACGGCTGTGCGAGTGCACACGATGGCCGATGCATGAGGTCAATCTACGTAATACGTATTGGTGTTAAGGGCGAATGCTACCAAACGTTTTCTGTATTCTACGTTTGCACCCGTATGTTTACGCCTATAATGTAATGCCACCGAACTGAGATTCGTGAATGATATAATTTTATAAGCTGTGGTTTCCCCAAGGCTTGAATGCAGGAGGTCTTAAGCATCGAAATTTTTTTTCTTCCGATTTGGCCATTGAAATACAAGCTTTTCGGCGTAACAAACAATTAGCAAATTTAGTAGTTAAATAATTTTTTAATGATTTAAAATGCAAGTACATTTTTTTTATTGTTTGTCTCCGGTGTATTTCTACAGTATTGTTCCCTGTTAGTTTTAAGGTTTAATACTTGGGTAAAAGTGAATTATTTTTTTTATAATAATTCAAACTTGGTCTCATCATTTGCACCATTCATACAGTTTGAGCAGTATTAAAAAAAATTATATGCGAAAGTTTGTGTACGTCAATGTTCATTCAACGATTTTCGATCTAATTTTTTTGGTAATTTATGCTCTGGATTAATGCGAGACAAATAGTTTTCCTTAAAAATAACCTGTTCCATTTACTGGTTGATATTAAAGGTATGTATATTAGGCTTTTATTCGACCAAAACATAAAACATATATTTTGTGGACTTACGTGGGAAAATTCTCTTTAGTGTCGCCAGTTAATTAATCCGAATATTGTTTATCTGTACGTGTGTATGTCACTGAACTCATCCTAAACGGCTGGACCGATTTTAATGAAATTTTGTGTGTGTCTTCAGGTCGATTCGAGAATGGTTTAGACTCACAATTCGGTCCACGTTTTTTTATTTTTTTATTTATAAGTTGTTTTCGGATTTCACTCGTGTGTACAGACAGTCTGTCGGTTCGCTAGTATTTGTATATAATTCTACTATTTAGTAGAAATGGGATAATGAAAAGGGAGCGATTAGAACCAAATGTTGAACAAGATATTTGATTCACGGTCTAGCTATTCGACAATGTTTCGTAAAATTTTCGGTATCTTGCGAAATAATGGAGCGAAGCGATTGCTTCATGTCCCTCAAAGTCAAGATCGCGCATGGATTCGCCTAGTTCACCTTGGCAATTGTAAATATTGGTGAATAAACTCTTGCTTTTAATAAAACATTTAATTCTAGGCTTTATTTCACCCGCATAGGATAATAATAATATAACTTAATAACCGTACTATAAATTAATCATAACTAAGCTTGCTGTTGAAGTATTTCTTTCGTGAACAATCCCAGTTTGAACGACGATGTGACTGAATCTTTGATTGCTTTCGCGATTTTTTTTTCAGACCAAATGTTTGTTCTGAAGCATTAGGAAGATTAAGAAGATTATTTATACAATTATACTTAATACTTGTCAATAATCTGTATTCTTGAAAATATTTCAGCTTCTTTGCAATGTTCTTATACTAAAAACATACTTTACGTTCAAAAGTTATTAGTAATATACCGGATGGCGTATAGTCCAAATAGTCCAAAACTTCTACTTCCGGTCAAACATTTCAGTTAAAAAAATTTAAAAGTTTAAATATGCAATAATTAAGTCTTAAAACATCCGCATTCACGTAACGTTAGAATTTTTTTTCTATTATCATTTCACTTTATAAAGTTGAGTTCTTGTAAATGAGTCACGATGCAGCTTTGGTTAAATAAAAATTAATTTACATTATTTTCACATGGATAGTTAGTTTACTTAATTTTTTTTACAATAAAAGCAAAAATCCCTCAGTAAGCTGTATTATGATCTATTCTGCTAGTGCTGTTTACTTATGTATAAGACTACTATCATACGTCTTTGTTATTTTTTCCGATTTTTCTTTTTTTTAAACGATTCGGTAAGTATGAATCTAATAGCTCTATTAGAATGTCTGCAGTGATTGGATGCTGTCGATTTAATTTCTTTCACCCTGTAGTCTTGACCTTCGGATATTGCCCAACCGTACGGTGGCGTTGGCTCGTTTGCCCTTGGACTAAATACGTTGACACTGGGCCTTTCGTAGTCAGCGGACTCTTTAATATTAATCAAACTTTAAAGCAGCTCTTAGACTTTAGATTGCTTTTAAATGTCACACATTGTTTTCCTTCACGATTAACGACAGAATGTAACTTGAACGAGTGCAAAAATTAGTGTTTATGTAACGCTACAAATATGCTAAAAATTCAATAATGTTGAATAAAAAGGAAGAAGAAAGATCGTAAAATCCCGAGACACACAACGTGACACGGAGATTGTACGAGAAATTAGACGCAGCACTACAGCCGAAGTTCACGCTCTCTGCAGTAACTTTTTTAAAGTAATCGTAGAAAACATCCGTAATGAATAATGAAGGAAAATAAAAAAATAGAAACGATAATAATTAAATAAAATATTTTTAACTATAAATACTTGTGTGCCCAAGGGCCCCGGTATGGCCTTGACCTTGGGTATAGTGACATGCCTGATAACTGACCTGGTGCATCTGTTGGTATATAGACGCATACAATCAACAAAGAAGAGGTAGTTGTGATAAGTTTTGCTAAATTTATAACTTAGTTAATCGCATATATACGAGTAAGCCTTCTTTCGTTAGCTAAAATTAAAATTTCGTTTATAGAAGATTAACAAATACATTTTAGGGATAGTATACAAAAATGGCAGTCTGTGGGGGAGGCCTATATTCAACAGTGGACTGAAGCAGGCTGAAATGATGAATGATGGCGATGACAAAAAATATTTTAAATGTGCATTTTTCAGAATCACATGGCATTATATAAGTTGCTCATTATACAGCGTGTCTTTAAAATTGCGAGAATAAATGAACACACGTCTAACGCTACTTGCCAATAATTATAAAAAAATATTACCGTTAAAAAATCCATAATTAAAAAAATATTTTTCAAACAAACTAATTAAGTAAAAAATAAACAAAATTAGTAACACCTTTACAACTACAACTGACTGATTCATACATTCCGAGACTTTTCCATTCGTTGCCACAGCGTCGCATTACAAGCCTCTCCTTCATGTTTTATCTCTTTTAAATTCATTCAACCTATTCATATGCTTTGTGACCTTTACAAATGAACTTTACGTTACAGTTTTATACGTAAGGGTGTTCTAAAATTCGTTGTTTTGGAACATTTAATAACTCGCTAAATATTTATGTTTAAAGAATGTAAATGTTTAATACAATTTTAAAAATTTATCCTCTGTATGTGTGTTCATTTATTGTAGCGATTATAAAGACACGCTGTATACAGCAAAATAAACATTAATAGCTATTACACATTATGGCCGTTTATGCTATAAGATGGCTTGACTGAAACTTGTTAATTTAATTAATAATAATCGATTATGGCCTCTAAAAACACCACCTCTGTTGATAAACATCTAGAAATACGACAATTATCCGAAATTGTTGCGAGGTAAAAAAAGGGTATAGAGTAAATTTAGAAAAATCAGTCTTACTGCGATAAAGCCTTTCACATCTAAATTAAAATTACGATAACTTGAGAGCATACACAATGTAATGCCTATAAGAAAAAATACGTTAGTATAAAACAAATTAATATTTGTATTCTAGTCGACTTTAAATCTTAAACCTTTGTATTACCTGACAGGCATTTAGAAATAGAACTTAATTATATTAAATTAGTTTAACAAAACTAACAATAAGTGATTAAGACATATTATTACGCCTTGCATAAAGTTTGTTGCAACTGCTTTCTTGCCCTTGACATATATTACTTGTATTAGTACCCTTTCCTAAGATCAATTAGAGAAAACTTAAATATAGCCGAGCCGAGCGGATACACTTCGTATCCGCTCGGTTCAACATATTGTTTCATGTCCGGCGCTGTTTTGCGTTTCACATCACACTGCGCTACGATCGATTTCCTTTTAGATGAATCCAACTCTATGGTTACTCTATAATGATGACTTGTTGGTGCCAGTTGAACCTATTGGCTTCGGCACAGTGGGTCGTGGGTTCGATCTTACACGTGGCTAGTATTTGAGTGACAAACAGATAATTGTTCGGAATCTAGGTGTTTGTTCCCAAGGGGGAGTTGATGTCAGGACCTTTACCAACACGATTCATATGTATGTAGAAAAAGATATAATATTTTATATTTTAATCAATCCAAGGAATTTGTTTTGAAATGTATACTATATCAAATCGAAGTTTTAGTTTAGATGATATATTATGAATGCGTGACTTTTGCAATTTATGAAATCCAAGCGATTGATTTTTAGTCATTGAACTTATGTAAAATTATCATTGCACGAATAGGCAGGCTTGGAGTGAAAGTTTCACACTTTTGCTTCTTGTGAGTTAGGTAGCTGAAAAGCCTAACCCTTTGAAGGTTGGCCACGCATTTTCAACTCAAGGTAATGTAAATGTCCATGGGTAGTGGTAGTCACCTAAAACACGTGAAACCCGCCTGCCACCTTATCACATAAAAACAATGATGGTACAGTCTGAACTTTAATCTTTTCTATATTCGTCAACAACGGCTGTCAATTAGCACTATAAAAACTTAAAAAACCATTTAAATTTTATTAGCAAAGCCGAAATCTGACGTTCCAATTATCGTTGTAAAACGTTA